AAATTAACTCAATGCAATCAAACAGAACAAAGTACAGATCAATGACCGTCACACGCCTTCAAACTACTTCTACCATGCAAAATCTACACCGTTTGTCACAAAAATCATGGGACAAAGGCCAAACTAACCAGTTTTTTTATTAAATACTAAAATCCAGTTTCAATGCCGATTCATTTTCTCAGATTTCGAAAAATTGACCCTTATGACTGGTTTTGTGGTCCAGGGATACAATTTTGGACCTGTGACTCAATCCAGATTAAAAACTACCCGTATCTCTTGTTTAATGGACAAAATTTGGCTCAAAATATACAGCAGCAGATAGGGCTGTGCAATTAATCGAAAAACTTCAGATGATGCATAAATCTCAATTTCGAAAAATTGACCCTTATGACTGGTTTTGTGGTCCAGGGATACAATTTTGGACCTGTGACTCAATCCAGATTAAAAACTACCCGTATCTCTTGTTTAATGGACAAAATCTGGCTCAAAATATACAGCAGCAGATAGGGCTGTGCAATTAATCGAAATACAGTTTCGATTTCGGCTTCCAATGATTATGAAAATCCAATAATCGAGATAAAACGATTATTGTGCCCCGTTCCTCCCTCTTTCCAGCGGTGCACTTTCGTTCCTTCATTAAAGCCCGAACTTAAAGTGCACATCAATAAAATCATGAAACGTGATTTTCGCAAAATGGGATGTGCTTGATTTATTAATGTTTATTAGATTTGTTTGTGTTTCTAAAAGTGCGAAAGAGAACTTGCGCTGTTCCGACACGGAGCAGAACACAGACATGTAAACGTTTAGCTTGAACTGCACGCCTAAACGGTCAAACACACGCAAAAAAATTGTCAAAATGCGGCGCTTTGTGATTATTCATGTAAACGCTCGTCAGTTATGTCTTAAGTGAACGTAAACAGTATTCCACCTGCGTATATCAAACAACAAAAGACAGAGAAAATCACTCACTGCTCTTGACTGAAGGACTTTTGTAGCTTTAATAAGAAACAAAGCAAGTTTAATTCTTACAGTGAAGACTATTTTACATTTGATTATTAAATTTCTGTATGCTGTTAGCTGAATACTTTAGACTTGAATAAAAAAAAAACTTAAAGCACTCTTTGTTTCATTTGTATCTTTTTTGTATTGCTTTTTGACCTTTGCTTTTTGTTTTTATTGTATTACTGACAGCTTAATTATTTTCAATAATTTCTGAAGACTTTTATCACTAATATAAAGTTTTGTTCATATGAACCACTAACAATCGTGATTACAATGTTGACCAAAATAATCATGATTATGATTTTTGCCATAATCGAGCAGCCCTAGTAGGAGAATTAAAAAAACTATTTTTAAAAAATACAGATTAAACCAACCTGTGTTTAATGGCCAAACTCTGTCTCAAATTGTTTTGTAATTAATTAAATAAATAAATAAGTAATTAATTAATTAAAAATGTGAAAATGATTAAATTAAATTAAATATTAAATTAAATTAAATTAAATTAAATATTTTAAAATAAATATTAAATTAAATTAAATTAAATATTTTAAAATAAATATTAAATTAAATTAAATTAAATATTTTAAAATAAATATTAAATTAAATTAAATATTAAATTAAATATTAAAATAAATATTAAATTAAATATTAAATTAAATTAAATTAAAAGAAGGCTTTTCCAAAATAATCACATTACACTAGTAGTATATTCTCCTCACAGCAGTCCCAGTGCTCACCAGAAGGCGGCGCTCTCGCCGTCAGCATTCATGCACAGCTCAATCACAAAAACCGAACACACTCCCACTGGCAGGAGGAGCTTGTCATGTCTTTTTCCAGCTCTGACTCATTTGCTCTGGTGGGTTTGACCCGTGTGACGGTCTGCAGGCCTCGTGACTCAATGACCTCGAGTCAGCGCGCAGGAAACACAAACACTACAGTTTGTGCAAGAGCATTGTGTAAAAGCACTGAGTCATGAGAGTCCGCTGTGTTCACAATAACACAATGTGCTTAGTATGCAGGTCGTCAATTTGCATGGAATACTTGGATAATTTGCTCAAATGTGCAGCATGCCACAGAACATGCATTGTGAGGTGATGTATCCCACAAGGCAATGCACTTCACCTTCCATCTCCATTGTGATGAATGAACTGCAATAGACTAAAACATTGCTTTTTCCCATTCATTTTACCAGTAGGGATTTTTAAAAATCTTTAAGAATTATAAACCATGAACCAAACCCACCAGCTACGAGGAGGAACACAACAAAGTGTTTGAAAACCAGACAAAGATACAAACTGTGATCTTAATGGCTTTAACGAGAGAAAGAACTATAATCCCATAAAGCATTGTGAATTACATAATCAAATTAAAAACTATGGAGAAATATAAAACAAATGACTTAAACAACTGGTGGAGTTTTCGGTGCAGAATCATGGGTAATGTAGTTTTTCACCATAATTCCACTGTTAAATGTGATTATATAAAAACAATGTTAAAATAATGGGGGCTGATGATTTCAACAGAAGCATGAACTGTCAATTAACAACCTCGTAGCTCAAAGTACGTCTGTCTTTAAAGAGTTTATAAGTTACTATTAAAAATCAGTACCGCTTTGGAGAAAATAAATGGGATTTATTTCTGTTGCACTCTATTAAACCAGTCACATGACCAAACAATCATACTGTCTCAGTCTCTGCAGTGTTACTCATTTAACAAACTTTAAAAAGAAAAAACGTCAAAATAATGTCATACTATGTCCAGATCAGGTTAAGAATAATAATCATTTAAAAAGAACAATTTAACGAAAAATCAAGAATTCATTAAACAGATTGCAGTCAAGTCTCTGCAGTGTTACTCATTTAACAAACTTTAAAAAGAAAAAACGTCAAAATAATGTCATACTATGTCCAGATCAGGTTAAGAATAATAATCATTTAAAAAGAACAATTTAACTGCAGTCAGTGTCACTAAAAGTATTACTAGTGATGCACCAAATTTTTGTCAACCCAAAATATTTACCCGAAAATATGAATTTTTAATTTTGGCCAAAATGGTTTTGGAGGAATGAAAAAAAACATGCAAAACTGTGACTTCTTAAATGTTTGTATTCAAAATTTACATTGTTGGTCACAAATGTTCATAGAAAAAAGGCTACATTACATTTATAATCCATAGGAGTTTTTTTTTATTAAATAATAGAAATACTAAAATCCAAATAAAATAAAATAAAGGTGTATTTTCTGCTAATTTTGGACCCGTGACTCAATACAGTTTAAAAACTACCCAGATCTCCTGTTTAATGGACAAAATCTGGCTCAAAATATAAGAAATATATGCACCATATTACAAAATCATTATATTTATATCAATATTTAAAGTATATTTGAATTAATCTGACATGAAAAGTTATGACAACCACCGCTGAAATAATATAATTAATGTGCATTTTAAATGTTTAACTTTAATTTTATTAGACTGTTGATTATTAAATAATTATTAATATTAAATAACTATTAATTTATTTTTAAAAATGTAATAGTAAAAAAAAAAAGAAATTAAAAACTGAAATTAAATTCACTTGTTAAAATCGGGCTAAATGAAAAATTTTATTTCTTTTTAAAAATGAAGTATTACATACTAGGGCTGTGACGGTCGCCATGACAAACAGAATGTCACATTTTATTATTAGCCGTTTCAACACATACATGTTTTACCAAATAAAAAGATCAGCACTTTTAGAGTTCATCCCACTATCTGATGTGAGCACAAGTATTGGGACAGATGAACTTAAGGCAGATGTAAAAGATTAAAAGCTATTATTTCGTTGCAGATCTCTTGCGTGCGATCAGAGCATCGACCCACAGACATCACCAGACTCTTGGTCTCATCCTTTGAAATGCTTTTTCCCAGCCTTTAATGCAGCCAATTCCAGCGGTTGCTTGTTTTGGGGTTGTTTCTGCCTTTAGTCTACTCTTCAGCTGATGAAATTCATGTTTGAACTCTTGATTTCTCCATGCCCTTTGTTTTTAATTGACTTCCTCTTTTCTTTTAGCATCCAAATTGCTTGCTTTTCTCTCAGAGTCAGCTCCCTCGTCTTCATCCTGGTTTGTGTGTGTCGTCTTCGAATGCAAGACTCAGAATGCAGAAGCAATGGATTTAACTGATACGACACATTCCCTGCTTTTAATATCTGAAGAATTAATGCAACGGGACACAGCTGGTTAACTGTCCCAATACTTGTGCTCATATCAGAGAGTAGGATGAACTCTAAATGTGCTGATCTTCTTAGCTGGTAAAACATGTATGTGTTGAAACGGCCAATAATAAAATGTGACAATTTGTAGTTTTGTCTCATATTCATCTTTTAATCATATTTACAGATTTCTTGACTCCACAGCAAACAGAGCAATTTTGTCTTGACTGTTCCATTACTTATAGAGGGCACTGTATATATATATATATATATATATACTGTATATATATGACCCTGGAGCACAAAACCAGTCATAAGGGTCCGTTTTTTTAAATTGAGCTTTATGCATCATCTGAAAGCTGAATAAATAATCTTTCCATTGATGTATGGTTTGTTAGGATAGGACAATATTTGGCTGAGATACAACTATTTGAAAATCTGGAATCTGAGGGTGCAAAAAAATCTAAATATTGAGAAAATCATCTTTAAAGTTGTCCAAATGAAGTTCTTAGCAATGCATATTACTAATCAAAAATTAAGTTTTGATATATTTACGGTAGGAAATTTACTAAATATCTTCATGGAACATGATCTTTACTTAATATCCTAATGATTTTTGGCATAAAAGAAAAATGTATAATTGTGACCCATACAATGTATTGTTGGCTATTGCTACAAATATACCCCAGCGACTTATGACTGCTTTTGTGCTGCAGGGTCACCACGGTGGTAAAAATCTGCCACCGTCACAGCCCTATTACATACTAAACATTGCAGCAGTTGACAGATAAAGGGTGCCCTGTACCTGGACATGGGCGGGCTTCCGGATGACGTGCTTCTGGGATTCGTAGTTCTGGAGCAGACGGAGACACGAGGCGGTGGAACAGGGGGTCTGTACAGGCCATCTCTGGGCTCTTTAGAGACGCCCACGGCGTAGCTCTTAGGAGGAAGAGGAGGAGCGCCCGCTTCTCCCTGAGCAGGAGACGAACACTGTTCATACAGGTGGAAGCGCTCCGATGATGAGGAGGAGGAGGAGGAGGAGGAAGAGGGAGACACAGGAGATGGTTTCCTCTCGCTCGTCTGGAGTTGCTGCGCCGGCCCTTTAAGAGGCAGGTGTTCTGGGCGTGGCCTGGGAGTTGGGATGGGCTTGGTTTGTTCGGCAGGTGTGGGCGTTTCCTTTTGTTCAGGGAGGCTGATAGGCTCAGGAGCGGTCACCATGGTTACCGATCCAGGCGTGAAGGGAACGGGGGGTCGATTGGGCGTGACTCGAGGAGGGACGGGAGGCGGGCGTCTACCTGCGACACTGTTTTCCGACACTCTGAATTTGGTCCTCTCTCGGACGACGGGCCTGTCCTCCTCTCGCTCCTCGTCCTCCTCCGTTCCCGCCGCCGAGGGGAGGAGCTTGCGCAGGCTGCCGAGGATCCGCTTCCTGTGGCCGGGCAGAGCCACGCCCATCCGCTGCAGCTGGGCGGAGCTTAGATCCTGACACTCCCACAGCGTTCCCAGCCCCGCCTCCCGGAAGGCCGGGCAGTACTGGTCGAGCCGGAGGCCACTCAGCCAATCGCACACGGGCTGGGAACTCTCTGGCGGGACGAAGGACATGACCGGAGCGCCGGGCTGCAGGAATACACTGCAGGACTTCTTCTCCATGGGACGAGCTCAGGGAATCATCGCTGGAATGGGACGTCTATTGAGAGAAAGAGAGAGAGAAATCATCAGACTGATCAGGATTTATTTATTTGTTTATTGTGAGTCAGAATTTATTTATTTGTTTGTTTGTTTATTGTAAGTGAGAATTTGTTTGTTTGTTTGTTGTGAGCCAGTATTTATTTATTTATTTATTTATTGTGAATCAGAATTTATTTCAACCCTCTACATTGCGAGTAAATCACTCGCAAATGCGACTAAATCTTACTCTGGGCGACTAAATAATGTCTAACATTAGCCATTGGCTAATAAATTCTTAGATTTTACACGCCAGTATGTGTGTGAGATGCGTTCAACACAGATTTTCTGACAACGTGATTAATATTCATGAACCCAGCAGATAATAGTAGTAGTAGCAGTAGTAGTATATTTTAATAATAATTACTATTACCTATGACCTGTGTGTGTGTGTGTGTGTGTGTGTGTGTAAAATAGTATATCAGTCTGGCGAGTTAACAAAAAAATTTACTAGCCAATGGCGATTATATTGCCAAGGTGTGCGTAGAGGGTTGTATTTATTTATTCATTATTTGTTTGTTTGTTTATTGTGAGTCAGAATGTATTTATTTATTTGTTTGTTTGCTTGTTTGTTTATTGTGAGTCAGAATTTATTTATTTTGAGTCAGAATTTATTTATTATTTATTTGTTTGTTTATTGTGAGTCAGTATTTATTTGTTTGTTTGTTTGTTTATTATGAATCAGTATTTATTTATTTATGTATTTATTGTGAATCAGATTTTATTTATTCATTCATTATTTATTTGTTTATTTATTGTGTCAAAATTTATTTGTTTGTTTGTTTGTTGTGAGTTGGTATTTATTTATTTATATATTTAATTTCCTTTCTTTCTTTCTTTCTTGACCTGTTACTGAATAGATCGCTTGGCAAGTTGTTTACTTTGTACTAAAGGATTTTTTTTTTTAAATATTGAAAGTTGAGTTTAGTTGTTGTCAGATGAGACACTACAGCTATTAATGAATATCCAATCGTGGGTGAATTTACTGGCCATAAATATTTTCATGACCCTAAAACCGTTGCATCGTTTTTTTATTAAAATATTTAGGTAATTAGGCCTATTATTCACTTTTTGCATGCATGTTGTTTTAAAGAGACGTGTCTTTAGTGCTCCAGGGAACAGCGTTACGGGAATCATGAGCGTGTTAAAGGCATGAGATGCAATCAGAAGTCATTTACTGTAAAACACAAGTCTGTCACCATCTCTCGTCGAAACTGAACCTGCAGGCATGAACACTCACTATTCTGTTCCTCATATTTCATTCTGCTGAACACGTGGGGAAAATTACACATGGAGAGAAAAAGAACTTCAGGAATCCGAGACATGTTTACTTAAGCAGATTCAGATCATCACAAGAAGTCTATCATACAAGAGCAAAAACATGCATAGCTGATCCAAGAGCCTGATGAAACCTGTTTGATGTTTTCCCAAATTCTGTTTTATTTTTTCTCAAATTCTGCGTTTTTCGTTTTAATTTGTCTGGATATTCATGGATTCTGGATATATTTTCTCTGAATATTTCATTTAAATGTTTTAATTCAATTGTAATTTAAAAACGTCTAATGAACTGCATTTATAAAACTTTAACAATTCAATAATTTATTAAAAATTAAACAATAATAGGGGCTTATGAAAAGCTTTTTACTGTTTTTAAACATTCTGTGTTTTCTGTTTCAACTTTTTATGTAATATAAATTTAGTATCAAAAATTAATGCATAAAACTTTTTAAACAATTTAAAAAATTAATTTAATTAAATAAATAAAAGATCAAGTAAATGCACCTTGATTTAATGATGTTTAGATATTTGTACTGGAAAATCAGACAAAAATACAGAGGAAGACGTTCATTATTATTATTATTATTTTATTATTATTTATGTATTTTTCCCCTTTTTTATTTATTTATTTGTAAAAAAAAATTTTGCAGTGCATGCAACATTTAATGCCATTACCTTATAAATTTAAGACGTTCTGCTCTGATTTAAGACCTTTTTACACCTTAATTTGTGGAAGTGCAAATTAAGACTTTGTAAGACCCTGTACAAACCATTTTTACTCCAATACAGCGCTTGTTACATTTTGATCCTGCTGGCTTATTTATCTATACATTAAATGTGACTTATTCTGCAGCAAAACACACTCAGACAAAAATTAACATTTCAGAAAAAGCTCATTTCCTGCATGCAATTTCCTGTTCCTGCTCAGATAAAGATAATTTTCCCAGTTGAGCTCATTATCAGTCAGAGATATTATTAGACCATGACTTCACAAACACAGTCTCCGTGCATGATTTCTAAATCACTCTTCGTTGTGTCTGACGTTAGATTTCTGTGTTAATGATTATAATACACTGAAGCTGTGCTGCTGAAATGTTCTGGAACGAGCGACTGAAGCCTTTGGCCCATGCACTCGTGTTCCTAAAAGACGTGTCCGACATGCAGTTAGACTCACAAAACACCATTCACACACACCAAAACAGAAGCAGCTCCTTCCACCTCCAATCCTTTTCTGTTTTAACACCGGTTCCTCAAACACCGTGACGATTCATTGTCATTATCATTAATAATATCTATCAACAGGATGCCTGTCAGGTACAACATGATTTCACTGATGCTCTTTTACTCCAAACACTGGCGCAACACTCAAATATTTAGCAATGCACAGCAATAACGCTGTATCCGTTTGGTGCAACTGACCACAATTGCTTAAAAATGCTGAAACATGAAATTATTTCTTCTAAGCATTTGAGACGCTATACAGACCTGATGGATCACATTCAGACATTTCAAAGAGTCACTGACGTGAAGACAGCTGCTGTAGGATCATCACATGAGCGAGCGTTTCATGTTCAGGTTACTGTAAAAGTGAACATGCCAAACGCTGCATGTGCTTTACATCAAACACTCGTGAATCAATCAGCCAAAGGCACTTCCTCCTCTTTATGTTATAATTAGCTTGAATCAGGAACTATGATAAGATCTTCATCAGATATCAAAGAGGTCTTGAGATCATCTGTTTGGGTGAAGCTCAGGGGGTCAACCTACAAATTTATTGCAAATATAATAATCAAAAGCAGTATCACACATTTAAACTCTAAACTCTTTTTAGTTGCTTCCTCATTTTAAAATATCATTTTACCAGGAAGTGCATCTGTTAAATGCAAAAAAACACTTAAAGTGTGAAACAGCAGGGGGTGTGTGTGTGTCTGAGTGTGAGTGTGAGTGTGTGTGTGTGTGTGTGTGTGTGTGTACC